CTTCACGAAGACCCAGGCATACGAGAAGGCTGAATTTAAATTTCCAGGGCCGCACGTGGGCAGGAATAATTTATCTGAAATTTTAACTGTGTAGCCTTTGTAGTTTCCAAGTTGAAAGTGCGGGACAAAATGCACTTGGACGCATGCACACAAATACACACACAAACACAAACAGGGGGTGATATGCGTTGTGTCGCTGTTACAAAACACAAAAGGCATAAAAAAAAAAAATTGTTGGCTATGCACATTAGCGGAAAATACGTTCAGAAACGGTAGATTAATTGATGAAGTACAAAAAAGAAAAAAAGTGCTCCATTTACGCGATTGAGGCACTTCCCGGGATGGAAATGGTTGGATGGCGCAGCTGCGATGCGTGCGCCCCGTACTAGGAACACATGTTCCACGTATTCAAATTTACTGCATAATATGCACGCAGTCATCATAATTCTCCCCACCTAGAAGCATTTTACGAAAGTTTCACAAATTAGCTGTGAAATGACTGCTGGAAGCCGAATGATTGCGAGAACTGGAGGAGGTCAGTTTATCTGTCCTGTGGGGCTTAGTAGGTTGCAGCTTAACGATATGCTCGAAATATAACTCATATTTAATAGGAGAAGTAGGTTGCAGCTCGAAATATAACTCATATTTGATAGTCGCATGGTCTTTGAAGGTGTAATTTGAGCTGCTGATTACAGCCTATCGACAGAGCCCGGATGATTGGTAGTGATGAAAAGGAGAGTGATAAAAAGGGGCCCCTGCGAGAATGGTTTGTGAATGATTTCAGTCATTATTCAACAGTGCTGTACGGCGAGGGCGAGTACAGCATCAGTTTCTTGTAGGTTTTCATTCGATCATTTTGCCACCACGCATCACTTTCACTTTTGACGACCATTTCGGTCGCTGTTATGATAATTTTTTACAAAAATGCTGTTAAAAAAGAACTGATGAGCCAGAACCACTGCCAAACGACCGACACTCCCAGCGAACTGGCGCTGCCAACCTTCCAACAAACAGGATTACTTGAGCCTCATCGGCGAGCAGGTGCGCTGGTTTGGCAGCGAGCACGCACAAACACACACACACACACACAGCACACACACACGCACACGCACAGCACACACACACACACACACACACACACGCACAGCACATTTGTATTACACGCTGAAGCATAAATATGCAAAACGTGCGTACACAACACGCGCACACACAACACACGTACAAACGCACACGTCTATGCA